AGAGTAACAAAACACTTGTTGATCAGGACTAACTAAAACAATTCCTCCTCCAGCTCGTATAGCGGTGGACGATCCATCAATGTAAAGAGTCCATGTCGGATCTTCAATAGACGTGCTGACAATTGGGGTAAACTCTGCTATAAAGTCAGACAACACTTGAGCTTTGATGGCAGTTCGTGGTCGGTACTGAATGTCAAACTGTCCCAGTTCTATCGCCCACTTGATCATGCTTCCCGACGTGTCAGGTCAGTGGAGGACTTGTCGGAGAGGAAATGACATGAATACAACAACAGAATGTTCCAAGAAATATGGACGCAATTTTCGTGCAGCAGTGATCAGAGCAAAGGCTAACTTCTCCATGTACGGGTACCGCAATTCAGCGTCATGTAGGGCCTTGCTAATGTAATATATCAGAAACTGTTGAAGCCCATCTTGTCGTATAAGAATAGCACTAACAGCGACGTCACTTACACCCAAGTACAAATACAAAGGTTCATCAAGAAGTGGTTTCTGCAACGTCGGTAACCGTGAAAGAACTTCTTTGATGTTGTCAGAAGCATTCTGACATTCCACGGTCCATTCGAACGGCTTCTTCTTTCTGATAGCGTCAAAGAATGGCTTACAATGATCCGTCGACTTCGAAATAAATTGGTTCAGAGCCGCCAGTCGACCAGTTAAAGCTTGGACACCTTTGATAGATGTCGGGGGGGCCAATTCAAGTATGGCCCGAATTTTGGCAGGATTGGCTTCGATTCCTCTTTGACTTACCATGTATCCTATAAATTTCCCTGACCCAACTCCAAAAGTACATTTTTTGGGATTAAGCACCATTGAATATTCTCGAAGAATGTCAAAGACTTCTGAAAGATGAGCAATATGATCAGAGGCTTGTTCCGATTTCACCAACATGTCGTCTACATAGACTTCCATCGTATGGCCGATCAAGCTTGCGAACATCTTATTGACCACCCGTTGATATGTAGCCCCAACATTTTTTAATCCGAAAGTCATCATAACATAACAGTAAAGACCACGGGCTGAATAAAACGAAGTATGCTCAGCATCATCAGGGTGCATGGGAATTTGATTATAACCGGAATAGGCGTTTAAAAAACTCATGAGCTGATGTCCCGATGTAGTGTTTACAATGTAATCAATGTGTGGGATTGGATAGCTATCTTTCGGGCATGCTTGGTTCAAATCCAAGAAATCAATGCAGAGACGCCAAAGACCGGTAGCTTTCTTAACCAAGATATGATTTGATATCCACGTTGGATATTTATCTTCTTTAACAAACTTGTTGTCTATGAGATTGTTCACTTCCTCTTCAAGAGCCTTCTGGCGATCTGGACCAAATTTTCGGCGTTTCTGTATAACGGGCTTGACAGTCTTATCCAAATTTAGATGATGGCATGCTTTCTGCGGATCTATTCCTTTCATGTCTTCGTGCTTCCAGGCGAACACATCAGAATTTGACTGAAGAAATTGAATTAAACACGAACGTATGGGTTCTTGAAGGCTAGCTCCAATGCGCAATGATTTTTCCTGAGTCAAGCCATCCACATAAATAGTTTCGACGTCTTCAACTGGCTGCGCTCGAACATGATGGTTCTTATCCTTGAATTACATCCGTGGATCCATATGTTCGTGTATTCTTATGTCTTCCTCATGAAAAGATTGTCCTGGATCAAGAGCTTCGTTTAGTGTTTCAGACAAATCCGACGTCGTAGGGATATCGGTATCAGCTACAAGAGGGATCTCGGTATCTGAAGCAAATTGAGTAGTTCTTCGAACACCAGGAAGGGATAGATTTTTCAACTCAGTAGAGTTATCAGTCTCCTGTTCTTCGATCATATGAAAGCTACGCGAGGCCGAAAGCAATGTCAGACTTCGGGCTTCTCGTTGATCTCCGTAATGGGTGCCTTCTCCTTCAATGGTAGGGAACTTAAAGGCATAATGAAAAATTGACACGGCAGCACGGAGCTTGTAAAGTGCAGTTCGTCCTACAACAGCATTATATTCATTCTGGACATCCAAGACTTTGAAAGTCTCCATGATAATCTTGGATTTTGGTCCAAACCCGCCAAATCGAATATGGAGTAATATTTCACCGACAGGGCGAAAGATGCTCCCATTGAAACCTTGAATTTAATCGTTACAAGGTCTAATATCTGCTGGGTCCAAACCCAATTTCTCGAAAGTGCAGAGCATCAAAATGCTTGAATAAGCTTTTGTATCGACCATAATTCGGTGGACGGGAATCCCTCCAATCGGGGTTGTGATAATAAGGGCGTCGGAATGAGGATGAGCGAATAGATTAGCATCTTCGATACTGAATGTGATGGGACAATTCCGTTGATTAATGGTATCTCGAAGATCAACGTTCATGACTCGTTTCTCGGCATTTTGTGCCTCCCTGGCATAGGCTTTGGCTTTCCGCCGAGAAGTGTCCAACTGTTTAGCATTAGAATTGACTCGAGGTATGCAATGTAAAAAGTCTGATGTATCATGTGCCTTGGATTTTTTGCAGTTATCGGCCGACGTACCGACATGAGTAGAAAACGTGAAAACCTCCTTATCGTTCGCGCGGGCTCTTTTCGGATTAACAAGTCGGTTATCATCTTCATCATCTGAACGGCGATTATCAAAATTTCTGAACTTTTGAAGTTGAGGTTGTCCAATTAATCGTAAAAGGGCTGACAAAAGACCGAGACACTCATCGGTATTATGTCTCGAAGACTTGTGGTATGCACAGTACCGAGTTTTGTCCAGCTTGTCTTCAGGGGTTCTCACGGGTCTCGGGTCTAGAATAATCCCTTTTCCTTTTAGTTCTTCATATATGGTAGCTGCTCCGGCTGAATAAACGGCCTGATAGCCTGTCCCGACATTGTCTGAATACTGATCACGAGCAGCCCTGGACTCTGGAGTGTTCTCATATCCTTTGGAGAAATTCCGAAATTGTGCTTTCCCAAAGTTCTTCTTATTCTTCTTTTTAGCATCCGGTTCAGTTTTGTTTTCTTTCGCCGAGAAGTCGAAACTGGGAACCGACGTCGATTCCTCGGCAGTAATGAATTGTTGAGCTTGTACAAGGAATTCTTGAAACGTAGCCGGTTTGTTTTGACATAGGGTCCAGCGAAACATTGAGTTGGGTTTCAGTCCAGCAATTGCGGTCACTAACAGGGTCTCAGGGTGACACGGCTCTATATTCTGAATTCGGTCATTAAAGCGAGACACGTAGTCCTTAACAGTTTCGTCGTCCTTTTGCACGATATTAGTAATTGATTCTTTTGGGATGAGGCAAATTTGAGCTCCGATGAAGTGTGATCGGAAAGCCGCTCGTAACTGTTGCCACTTCCAAATTGAATGAGGTGGAAGAGTATAATACCACTTTTGTGCTCGCGGCCCCAGTGTAAGAGAGAACATCCGACACCTCAGAGCATCTGAGGCCCCATGAAAATCCATCCACGACGTATAATGACCCAAGTGCGCATCTGGGTCCGAGGTACCATCATACATGCCAATTTGTGGGATTTTTACTTTAGCAGGGAGTACTTCCGCGGTAAGTTCCGGAGCTAGGGGTGAATCAGCTTTAATGATGACATTTCCCGATGTCGAGACATGTCGAGGAGAATCTTCCTGTGACTTCTGTCGAGTCTCAAGTTCGGCCAAGCGTTTACGGAGAACTTCAATTTCCCCTGCACTGTGTCTCGAGATGCGATTCCGTTCAATCTGACGCCGTAAATCTTCACGATCATGAGGCATCGGCGAAGCAGGTCTAGGACGTGACGAAATTCGTTGATGATGAGCAGAGTGGCTTTCAACAGTCATTTCCTGTACAGGGGGTTCCTCTGGAGCCTGGTTGTTTGTTACTGGGTTAGCATTTATACGAGTTAATTCTTCTCGGCATGGAGAAGTATGGTGTAGTTGCGACGTAGCGTGTGATGTCGCAGCATGTGTTTCAGGGTTATGTTGAGTAGGATTTGGTTGTTCCCCAGGATTTGTAAGATATAGTGTGATACTGGTACAGCGCCCGAGTGTCTTGGCATAGCTTGAGCTATCAGAGAGGTTAAACCTTGAATAAACTCCGGGTTCTGGAGAAAGTTCGTGATATTCGTAACCGGAGGAGGTGGTGTAGTACGGCCTGGAGAATGATGAGTGGATTGACTGTGACCACCGTGAGAGGTATGGTCTCGACCGGAGTGCGACATAGCGACTTCGAGCGTATAGGTAGCTATAACAGGGAAAGTTATCCTCAAAACTATTATGAGGCCGCCCTTCCTCTAGCGCCAAACTGTTGTTAAAACGGTAATTAACAACTATATCAAACTGATTATTACGGTCAGTAGTTTGAATGATTCAGTGAAGAACGTATATAAAGCATAGGAAACAAAGTGTTTTGAATATTATTGTATTTCTCTCTCTCTCTCGTCTTTGGAGAATCTATTTTCTCCTTTTTATATTTATTTACAACATTTATCTAAAATGTAATCATTACATGGGAATAGTCAACGGCGGCTAATTGCCATTCATCTTGGTAACATGCCACTTGGCCAGGCGTAATGATGAGTTGTGCTGAGCTGGCGCCGCCTTATAGTGTCGACGTGGCACGTCATAGATATCAGTTCGTATGATTATAACCGATATGTCATATCCGACGTGTGGTAACCGACATGTAATGACCGACATGAGATATTGGTCAGTCGACGAAGATGTCGGTTCTTGATGAATTTTTACCCGTTATGTAATTGTCTTGAAACCCGTGAAGACATCATCTACTTGTATGAATTTAATCATCCTCCTACGGAACATAATCATCTGATCAGCGTCGCTTAACTTGGTTTACTAAAAATGATGTCAACAATTGCTCAGTACAAAAGAGTTTAAAACATTACCTTAAGCGTAAAAGCGCTTGAAATGAATCACATGCCCAGATCGCGACAATTGTCGTCCTTCACCATCCTCGAGTTCATATGCGCCCATTTCGAGCACCCTTACGACTGTGTAGGGTCCTTCCCAGTTAGCTTCGAGCTTTCCGACATGTTTGAGAGCATCTGGTCGTTTCAAGACAAGATCGCCTACCTGAAATCGTCTGGTTCGGACCTTTTTGTCGAAGGCAACACGCATTTTATGCTTATACTTCATGGATCGTACTCAAGCTTCCTCTCGCCCTTCTTCTATCATGTCGAGGGCTTCCTCAATCATCTCCCCGTTCTTCTTCTCCTCATAGAATGTCGACCTATGAGAATCCAAGCTGACTTCGACAGACAGGAGCGCGTCCATTCCGTAAACCATGTGGAATGGTGACTTGCCTGTTAAACTTCTTGGAGTCGTCCTATAAGCCTACAGGACAGTTGTCAACTCATCGACCCAAGCACCTGATGCCTTTTCCAACCTCTTCTTCAACCCTTCGAGAATGGTTCGATTAGTTACCTTGACTTGGCCATTGGCCTGGGGGTGTGCGACCGAGGCACATCTCTGCTTTATTCCCATGTCGAGGCACCATGCTTGAATTCGTTTTCTTCGGAACTGAGTCCCATTATCAGAAATTAGCACTTTCGGAACTCCGAATCGACAACAGATGTTGTTAAATAGGAATTGAATCATCTTTTCCTCAGTGATTTTCGCCAACGGTTCCACTTCGACCCACTTGGTAAAATAGTCGACAGTGACCACTATGAACTTCCTCTGTCCTGTTCCCGTCGGCATGGTCCTACCAAGTCAATTCCCCATTGCGCGAAGGGGATTGGGGTGTTTATGGTAGTCATATATTCGGCGGGGATATGAGTGATTTGCCCATGACGCTGACATTTCTCACACTTCTGGACCAACTGCTCTGCCATTGCTCGCATTTTTGGCCAGTAATACCCTGCTCGCAGTGCTTTGCCTGCCAAAGCTCGCGATCCTATATGTGCTCCAACACATCCTTCGTGTATTTCCTTCAAGACATGAGTTCCTTCGCCTTCGGAAACGCATCGCAAGTGGGGTCCAACCAAGGACTTCTTAAACATGACACCATCGACTTCGAAGTATTTGTTTAGATATCGAGCAACCGTTTCTGCCTCCTGCTTATCTCCCATAGGTACTCGACCCTGTAGAAGTTCATGAATCGGCTTCCTCCAGTCATCCTTTTCCTCGACTTCTAGTGTCTCGCTCAACACGCTTCCGTCCAAATGCATGGTGGTGATGGAACTCTCCATCTTTCCGTCATTCGAGCTCGCAATTCTAGCAAGCCAATCTGCTCGCTTGTTCTCCTCTCGAGGGATTTGTGTTAGCTCAAACTTCTCCAGGCCTTGAACAAGGCTTTGGATTTCCTCGACATATTTCATCATCCGATCTTCCTTGATCTCGCAACTTCCCAACACTTGTCCAACGACCAGTTGTGAGTCGGAATGCGCCGTAATTTATGTTGCTCCGCCCCCGATCGCGAGCTTGATTCTTTTGATTAGCGCCTCGTATTCTGCTTCGTTATTTGAGGCCTTAAAGCCCATTCTAATGGCAAAGTTGAGTTGTTCGCCCTCGGGTGACACGAGGACGACTCCAAGACCAGACCCTTTAGACGCCGAAGACACATCGACGTGCATGATCCATTTCTTTTCTTCTCCCTTGGTGCCTTCTTGGATAAAATCTGCTAAGGCTTGGGCCTTTATGGCTCGCCTTCGCTCGTACTTGATAGAGTATTCGCTCAACTCGACTGCCCATTTTACGAGCCGACCTGATACCGTTGGTCGACCCAGTGTTTTTCCTAGGTGGAAATTTGTCCTCACCACTATCACGTGATTCAGAAAATATGGCCTTAATTTTCTAGCCGTTATTACCAGTGTCAAGGCGGCTTTCTCGACCTCAGAGTATCTCGTCTCAGCACCCTCGAGAACTTGATTGGTGTAATAAATTTGTTGTTGGACACCTCCTTATTCTCGCAATAACACTGAACTTAACGACACCGATCCCACAGATATGTATAGTACCAACTCGTCGTCGGGATCAGGTTTCGTCAACAAAGGCAGTTCACCCAAAAATTCTTTCAATTTCTCGAAGGCCCTCTGTGCCTCGTCACTCCACAGGAAAGTCGACTTCTTCTTGAGTAATTTAAAGAATGGAAAGCTCTTCTCGGCGGCTCGAGCAATGAACCTGCTTAGTCCCGCAATCCTTCCCATCAATTCCTACACCTCTCTTATATTTCTTGGTGGGGCCATGTTGAGTATGGCTTTTACCTTGTCTTTATTTACTTTGATTCCTCGTTCTGTAATGATGTATCCCAAAAACCGACCTGCCTGCACTTGCTCGGATTCAACTTCATCCCGACCGCTCTAAGGGTCGTAAATGTCTCCCTTAGGTCGTCTGGGTGTAAAGTTGAGGACTTACTCTTCACCAAGATATCGTCAACATATACTTCGTTATTTCGTCTGATCTGATATTTGAACATACAATCCATCAATCGTTGGTAGGTTGCTCCTGCATTCTTAAGTCCAAAGGGCATGACGACATAACAATACATCCCCTTGCTCGTCACAAAGCTCACCTTACTTTGATCCTCAGGCGCCAACGGAATCTGATGATATCCTTGAGATGCATCCATTATACTTAGTAATTTGCAACCAGCCGCGGAGTCGACTAGCTGATCGATTCGTGGTAAAGGATAATGATCTTTGGGGCATGCCAAGTTCAGATCATAAAAATCGATGCATATGCGCCATTTGTTTAGTGCCTTTCTTACCATCACCGTGTTGGATATCCACTCGGGGAATTGGATTTCTTTGATATGTTCTGCTCGCAGTAACTTATCCACCTCGACCTCAATGGCTTTGTCGATTTCTCCACCATGATGTCTAAGTCGCTGTTTTACCGGCTTTCTGAGGGGGTCGACGTTGAGTTTATGCTCCATAATGGTGGGGTCGATCCCCGTCAACTCCTCCGGGGTAAAAGCAAAAATATCTCTGAATTCCCTCAGTAATGCGATAAGTTGGTCTCGCAGCTCGTCTTTCAGATCCTTCCCGACCTTGGTGGTCTGCTCATCCGTTTCCCCAATCTGTATTTCCATCAATTCCCCATGTGGTTCGAGATCACTACTCCTTGGCCTCTTCTCACTTGACCCCGGTTTCTTTCCTTCCTTAACCTCGGCTCGCTGGTTGGTCTTCACAACAATTTGATAGCAAGCCCTCGACAGCTTTTGATCGCCTCGAGCTTCTCCCACTCGATCTCCGATGGGGAATTTCAACTTTATGTGGTAAGTTGACACCACAGCCTGAAATTCATTAAGCGCTGGCCTTCCTAGGATCACATTGTAAGCCGATTCGACATCGACTACCACGAATCTTACCATTTTTACCTTTCGCAAATCACCTTCCCCTGGGACGGCAACAAACATAGTCTCTCTTAGGGGCGCGACCTCTGAACCATTAAAACCGAACAGTGAGTTATGGAGGGGTGCGAGTTGTATGTCGAGCTCCATCCTCTTGAGACAATCATAGAAAATCACATTCACTGAACTCCCAGTGTCGACAAACACTCTCTGCACTTCATATCCTGACACTTGGGCGGTTACCATTAATGCATCATTGTGAGGCCTCTCAATTTCTCCCACATCCGCTGGTCCAAAGTTCATTACTGGTCCACTCTCGTCAACTTGCTGTATCTCGACTTTCCCATGGCGCCCTCGGGCATACGCCTTCCTTGCTCGATTCGAATCTCCATCGGTTGATCCACCAAATATCATATGTATGACTCCCCTTTTCTGAGGAAGCTCCTCCTTTTCAAGCGTTCTCGTCCTCTTGCGAGGGCTCCTGCTCCTCTCTTTCCTCCTGCTTGTCCTCTCCCGATCCTTGTATATGAATTCCTTCAAATGTCCTGCCTTAATCAGCCTCTCGATCTCGTACTTGAGTTGCCTACAGTCGTTGGTATTGTGACCATAATCCTTATGGAATCGGCAGTATAGATTACTTTTCAGTCTATTGGTCCATCCTTCCTTGTCTTGGGCTATCTAACGACATTGTCATGAATTTCCCTTTCCATAACCTCCAAAATTCGCGCTTGGGGGGCCGATAAAGGGCTGTATTGAGTCGGCCTCCATCCCTTAGATCGTCCCTCTCTTTCTGCTCTTGGGGACCCTCTCCTCTATCCCGAAGGATTCGCTTTTTTATCTTTCTTCTCGTCCCGGTGTTTGGCTTTTGTCTTAGTTGCCTGCAAGAAGTCGACCTATGCTTCCTCGACATTCATATATTTCGCGCATCTTCCCAACACTTCATCAAACGTCTTGCCAGGACGCTTCGCCAGATAGTTCCTGCATAACCCGGGTAGCAGTCCTCGAGTCAACCCCCCTGCTTTGATCTTCTTTGACGCCCTGGGTACGTCGACACACACACGTGTGTATTTCGCCATATAGTCCCGCAATGACTCGTCTTCTTTCTGTTGCAGGCCCATTGGAGTTAGATACGACTTCTCCTGGGGTTTGACACTTGCAAATTGATTGAGAAAACTCGAACTGAATCCATCAAAGTCCTTAACCGCCCTCGATGACAATTGATGAAACCAATCTTGTGCAGATCCTCGTAAGGTCATCAAGAAAGCCCCGCATTACACTGGGTCATTATAACAATGTAGTACCGCCATATTCTCAAAACTCCTCAAATGACGAGACGGGTCAGTTGACCCATCATAACTTATGTTTAGATCACGGAAGCCCTGCGGTAAGTCGGCATGCAGAATGTGTTGCGAGAACGGGTGTCATCTTGTGCCTCCGGTCTTCCGTCCCTCAACTCGGGCCTGCAGATCACGGACCAGGGCCAACAACTGCTCCAATGTTTCGTCTCTCGCTTGTGTGTTGACGGTCCTAATGGAGGATGCTTCCTCTTCCGCCCTCCTGACTTGCCTCTCATTGGACTAGGCTTGCTGTTCACGATCCTGGAGAAGCTGCTCGATCCTCAGCGGCTCGACCCTAGGTTGCTCGACTTGTGCCTGCCTGAGTTGGGCCACCACCGCTTCCGCAATCATTTTTTGCATCTCGCTCCTCCTCACGGTCACCGTTTGCTCCTCGACCTGGGGTAGTGGTTTCGTCACTTGTTCCAGCACCTCAGATTGCTTTCCCAGGCTCAAATTCGTTTTCATTGATTTGTGGCCATCGATTCCCGTGTTCGCACTCTTCACTTGGCTAGGCCCTCCTTGTGTTATCCTCAGAATCTTTACCCCAGGTGGCGTGATGGGTGTTTCTTCTTTAACACGCACCCCCGATGGCGCATGTCCTCCAAACGGTGGAAAATCGAGCACTTGAAGTGGTGGTCTAGGGCCGGGAATTGACAGCGGCCGCTTGTCTGTCCACGCTGCCCTGAAGTCCTCGTTCAGGTTTCTCGACAGCCCCTCCTTCTCCGCCATGTCAAACAGATCGGAACTAGGTGCAAAGGTCTTACTTCCTTCAAGAACTCCCCACAGACGGCGCCAATATGATGGGTCTCCTCCTAGATCTGGAGTGAACCGGTGGAAATGAGCTCCGGTCTGTTCGAATCGCCTCCAAGTCGTCCGTAGACCGCCGCAAACGCCTGCAAGAACTCAACACCGGAAGTGTTTTCGGTGAAGAGCCTCCGACGCTCAAATCAGTGAAGGGGAAGAAAACGAGCTCTGCTCAGAGCAGCAACTGAAGAATGAATGGAGAGAATCAGAGTTAGGGTTTAGAGTTACCTCAGCTCCTTTATATATGAGTATAAACACTTACTGGAAATACCTAGAATGCCCTGGCCGACTTACATGAAGTGTCCAAAATGCACTGGTCGGTTCACATTTCACCTACTCCTGAGTCAACATCAAGATCCCTTCTTATCTCGTGCAGATTCTCTAATTTGGAGCCCTTCATATGATGTCGAAGTATATATGAGCCGTCGGAGGTCTTATAAGTCGACCTGGAGCTTTGTCGAGTCGACCTACAATCGTTTGTATATCTGAGGCTCTCGAAATGTTTATTCGTCTTCGAGATATAAGACGACTTATGCTTAATCGACTTCATAATGTCGACTTGGATCATTATCAGATCAGCCTCATGTGGCCGATAGGCCAGGCCGACTTTGGAGACGTCAACCTGTCGATGTTGTCAGTGGCATTTGTTGAGTCGAGTAATTATTGTTTGGACCGGACTACGACGGTAGGACTATATCAAGTTGTTTTTGGACCGGTTGTTTTAGGATATTTTATGGTTGTGTCGAACTCTTCCCCTCATGATGCTTGATATGCGTTTGAAAGCCAAGATAATTGAGTAGTAAGTTAAGGATATCGATTGGAGTCATTGTTAACTTTTTTTGTCTTATGTGCTCGATGAT